TTTTTTTTTTAATTTGAACCATAATGCACTATAATCCTAAAATTTGTTTAATAAAGATTTTGAGTATCAAGTTTCCAATTTGGTTCTGTGAGGCGCATATATTGGCATGAAAAACAAACATGACATGATATAGGGGAGAAATAGACATACTATTTAAAGGGAAGGTACTAAGAAAAAGGAAGATATGATATGTTTGGCTTTATACTTAATTTTTGTTTAATATTAATATCGAGCACAAATTCATTGTAACTTCATATGCATCTTTGTTAACATTATACCATGCTAATTCAATATTCATATATAAAATTTAATTTATAACAACATTATGAAAGATAGTAAAACAATACAGCATTTGGGTTGTTTTATAGGAAGTAATTCGTTGCAGAAACAACCCTTGTTATTACTAGCTCAATCTTACTCAAACCACATTAGATATTGTACCTCAGTCTTCCTGATCTTCATCTCTGATAGCTGATGAAAATCATGTTCTCTTATGTTTTGCTCTAAATTTTTTTATTTATCTCTTTCACCAATGTGAACATTTTTTTATTGCAGGAAGATGTGAACCATTCTTGTACCAGCGTAATTGGAAAACTTCCACGTCCACCCAGTCAAAATGCCGTTGGAACTTTGGAAGGAATTCGATCTGGAAGAACTTCACCAGGACTCGTTAGGGCTCAAAGCCTTGGTTCTAAAGCTGCTCAGTCTTTCGCGTCCGCCGTCGATCCTTCACTAACCATAAGTCGAACCCCAGAATCTCTAGTCATTGGTAGAGCATCGAGCCCATGCCTCCCCTCTATTGGAAGTCAAACTTTTGATGTCGACTCAAAAAAGACATCCAATGGCTTCAACAGACTTCCAACTAAGGTAACGGATTACGCTGATGTAGCAGCTGCTTTGGCTGGCCTAAATCTCTCCGGCAAAATAGGAAATAGAGATAATGTTGTACAAAACAAATTTCTGCATGGTTCTGATCTGTATAATACTTCTTCAATCCCTGGACTTGCATGCAATGAGTTCTCCAAGAACTCCGGCTTTCTTAAAGATGATATAGCTGCAATGGGCTCAAATGAACAAATTAACATGCAGCAATGTTTACCATCTAGCAATTTATCGAAGAAAATGGCTCCTGCGAGGAAATCCAGTTTTACAGGATCTAGTGGTCGTTATCAACCGGATTCTTTAAATGCTAATCTCACTGAAAGCAATCCAAATGCTTACCTTCTCAATCATGGCGTCCCATCGATCCTGAATAATCATCTTGATGCAGGTGCCTTAAAATTAAGGAATATTCACATATATACCACTCAATTCTTATGTATTTACATATCTAACGTGTATACTTTATTTTTTACATATATGCCACCTTACCTGTACATGAAAAGGTGTATTCTCTTTTTAAAAATTATAGTTGTGATACTTTTGATGTGATATGGAAAATTTGGGTGGCATAAATGTAGAAAGCAAAGCTTAGATGTTAGATATGTAAATATATAAGAATTTGGGTGGTATGTAAGTAAATGTCTCTATAATTATACTTGTACATTTACATAGCACACAATTCTTATGCATTTACGTATCCCACACCAAAACTTTCATATTTACACACATAACATTCAAATCTTTAATATCATATTAACAAAAAAACATTATTATCATTTTTTTAAAAGTGAAGAACACTTTTTCCGACATCGGCTTAAGGCACCAAAGTGCTATATATGTTAAGGGTCATTTACATACCACTCAATTGCTATGTGTTTGCATATCTAACACCTAAACTTTACTTTTTACATTTAACTTTACTTTTTACAACTTTTTACATTTATACCATCTAAATCTTTCATATCACATAAAAACTGTCACTATTTTAACTTTTAAAAAGTTAAGGTGGTATATACCTAAAAATTGAAGTTTAGGTGTTAGATATGTTAATGCATAGGAATGGAGTGGTATGCATGTAAATCTTCCTATATATAAATATGAATGTTCAGGTTTGAGATATGCAAATAAATAAAAACTATGTGCTAAGTACATAAAATTTCCAATTAAATAACATATGCTTGCTGCTGCCTTTTATCCAATTGATGTTGCCTTACTCGCACAGGAACCCAAGAAGGATCAGGCTACCACCCTGTATCTGTTGTAGATCCATTATATGTACAATACTTACAGGGAGCTTCTGGCTCCACCTCTCCATATTCTGGAAACCTAAATGACCCTACTCTAGGAGGAAATCTTCTAAGTTCTTCACTTACAGAGTTAACTCCGTATCAAAAAGTATATCTTGAAGCACTGCTTGTACAACAGAAATTACAGTATGGCGGATCCTTAAGCAAAGATGGCACCTTGGGCAATGGCTTCTATGGAGCTTCTGGTTTAGGTTTAGGCATGCAGTATCCAACAGCTGCTTTATCTGCTGGTCTTCTTTCTTCTTTGGGCGCCGGAAGTTCAAGGCCTAATGATCGACTATCGAGGTTACCGCCCATGGTGCGAAGTTCGGTAGGGGTACCGAAGGGATTATGGAACTACGAAAATGGTATTATGGAGGAAAGTTTTCCATCGTCATTACTGGAAGAGTTCAAGAACAATAAGACTAGTTCATTTGAACTCTCAGATATTGTGAATCATGTATTTGAATTCAGGTATTATTTGTTTGGAATATTTACAAATGTACCTCTCAATTCCTATGTATTTTCATATCTAACACCTAAACTTTGCTTTTACATTTATAGCGCGTCTTCTTCATCACATTAAAAATTTCACTATTTTAACTTTTAAAAGTTGAAATACATATTTCATGCATAGGTAAGGTGGCATGTGTATAAATGTTAAAGTTTAGGTGTTAGATATGTAAATACATAAGAATTAAGTGGTTTGTATGTAAATATTCTTTATTTCTGTTATGGGGCATGTACTTGGCTCATAATTCTAATGTATTTACATATCTCACTTTCTAACTTTTATATTTACACACATAGCACTCAAATTTTTAATATCACATCAAAATACCACTGTTACCACTTTTTAAAAGTGAAATACACTTTTTTCATGCATAGGTTTAAAGCACCAAAGTGCTATGTATGTAAATATGAAAGTTTAGGTGTGAGGTATGTAAATACATAAGAATTGCCCTTTTATATTTAACTGATGCATCTGTTTAGCCCAAACTATTCCAGTTTTCATTCCCTCATCTTATTTTTTTTGCATACGATAATTTTTTCGCATATTTCTCCACTTATTTTGCGAATCTCATCAATGGATAATCTAACTTTCCTCTCAAAAATGCAGTACGGATCAGTACGGTAGCCGTTTTATACAACAAAAATTAGAAACAGCCTCCATTGAAGAAAAAAATAAAATTTTTCCGGAGATCTTCTTGCATGCTCGTGCTTTAATGATTGATGTTTTTGGTAATTATGTAATACAAAAGGTGTGAAATTGTATCCTGACTCTTCATATCTCGCCTTTTAGATACATGTAATTAACATTAATTTCTGCTTTCAGTTCTTTGAACATGGGACAGGGAACCAGAGAAGTCAGCTTGCCAGTCAAATTTTTGGACACGTTTTGGCGCTCAGTCTTCAAATGTATGGGTGCAGAGTCATTCAGAAGGTTTGATTCTAATTTTATGGGCATCTGTTTTATGAGGCAATTTAGATTTGTTTTCTTGCAAGTCCCTTGCTTTATATTAATAACATTTGTGCCATTGCAAGTCTGAAGTTTGCTTTTCGCACCCATTATGCTATGTTTTATTTTTGGGGCATTTCTGGGGCATTTACCTAAACAGCACACAATTCTTATGTATTTATATATCTGACACCTAGACAGTCATATTTACATGCATTCCACTCAAATCTTTAACATTTCATAAAAAATACCACCATCACTATCTTTTTTTAAGTGAAGGACACCTTTTCTTGCATAGGTCTATGACGCCAAGATTTTACGACTATAAATATCAGACTTTGGTGTCAGATTTGTAAATACGGAAGAATTTTGTGGTATGCATGTAAATTTCCCTTTTTCTTATAGGATTCTTTTACTTATAGTTATTTTGCACGGCATATGTGGACCGGAGTTATGATGTTTTGTCGTTACCGAATTAATAGAGGTGTCCTCATTGATATAATTTGTAGACATGGCAATAACTTTTTGATACTCTTCGCTTATGTCATTCTAAAACGTTGATAAAAAATGAGAACTTTAGGGTCCTTATTGAACAATGATTGAAAATGGAAGAAGCAGAAATATAACTTTGAGATACTAATAATCGAAGGTAGAGAGAGATAGCTTACAAGAAGAGCAGTTTAATGTGGTAAAATTTGAGGTCTGAGAAAATTCTACTTTTTTGGAGTGTGTAGGGGTAGTCATGGAGGGGAGAGAAGGCCTTCTAGTTGCATAATATTTAGTTATAGCTCTTGCAATCATTAATTTCTTTGACTTAGTAGCTGTGAGGCAATCCTCATTTGGACATTTATAGTTTATGTGAAAAGCAAGGAAGTGGATTCATTCTGGTATTTTTATGATGAAAGGTTGCCTTGTATTTGAGATCTACAAAAGATGTTATTGTTGTTTATTTTTTTGTTACTTTTAATATCCTAATTATCAGGATAGGATTTATTAAATTTGGTGTTCAGATATTGTTATGAAACTTAGAACTATAAAAATCAATATGAAACTTAGCTTGGCATGAAATAGAGGTGAATTGCCCAATATGTAAATTTCTCATTTCTGAAAATTTCAGGATTAGTAGGCTTGATAGTGATGATGCAAGCTTAAGCTTTTCCATGATGGAACTAAAACCTTCATTTCCATGTTTACTGATCAGGTTTAGTGTCTCGTACTGCCTTAGAGGGAGGTCCAGGATTCAATAGATCTTTTTTTCGTTGAAGTTCATGCTATATGAGCTTATGGGAATTCATGAACACTTGTTAATATACTTGTTAATATCATTGTGTTTTTTCATAGAAAGTAAAAAGAAAAAATGTTTCAAAAGGCTATCAGTATTTTCAAATTTCTTTATTGTCAAAATTATTGTTTGGGCAGGTTTGATGCATGAGAGAGTGAAAAATGCTACTTTTGTTTTTGTTATGAAATTTTTTATGGGTAATGAATCATAATCTTGGGAAAAATAAATGTGCTTACTGGATTGTTATTATCTATCATTTTATCAACCAGCTGCTAATTTCCACCGACTTTATTAATTTCTTACCTTTCTGGCAATTTCTTGGTTGCTATTAAAGGTGGTTATGTAAAATCAAAAAGTGCAACATATAGAATCCATCCAATACAGTCCTTCCTGATCAATCTTCCCTCTCCAAAAGATTGCATATATAAATTAAGTTTGTTTTTTTCATATGACCTCATTTTCAGTGTTTAGCATGTAAATGTAATTTTATTTTTTTTTATAGATAATAAAAGTTTTGCAGACATTGTGCGGTTCGACATGTTAGTGTCTATGTGCATCTTTTAAATGCTAATTTCACTTAGTTGTGGCCTCAAGCAGGCTTTGGAAGTCGTCGACACAGAACAACAAACGCAAATTGTATCTGAGCTGGACGGTTCGGTTATGAAATGCGTTCGAGATCAAAATGGCAACCATGTTATTCAGAAGTGCATCGAATGTGTTCCTCAAGAAAGGATTCAGTTTATTATTTCTGCATTTTATGGACAAGTTGTGGCACTCTCTACCCATCCCTATGGCTGCAGAGTTATACAGGTTTTATATTTTAGTGTAGATATTGGCTCGGTCTTTTTTATTTCTCTTTTTCATTCCTTCTGCTTTTTTTTTTTTTTTTGTTTCTTCGTCTGGAAACAAACATAACTATGTGATTACTGATAAAAGCTCTCTGCCTGTTTTCAGAGAGTTCTGGAGCACTGTAATGATGCACAGACAGAAAGCATTATGATGGATGAGATCCTGCAATCTGTTTGTACCTTGGCGGAAGATCAATATGGAAATTATGTGGTTCAAGTATGTTTTGAAATTCATATCCTTCTTTTATTTATTTTATTTTATTTCTTTGATAAATTTTATATTTTAATAGTATTTTTCTTTTTTTGGCAATTCTATGCTTTAATTGCATATTTTCTATTTGGAATTATTTCATGCATGATGATGAAACATTTTCTTTTCACTATCGTTATTTTCATGATGAAACTTTATGATCTGATTATATTTCAAGACATCTTGAATGTATAATCGAAAGCATGCTTTGAGGATTTTAGTTGATCCAGAACTTGTATAATGTGGCCTTATTGTGATATTCTGTTTGAATATATTCATTTCCTTTCATTAATGAAATATTAAACTTTGCATTTAAAACATTTCTTTTTACGAAATGCTACAAAGTTAAAGGTTGTATTTTATATGTAAGATATAGTAAGATGAGAATGGAAGCATGTTAGAACTAGTAGCATGACTGATAAAGGATGTATACTATGATCATAATTACTGGTAACAAATAGTTTGATGACGACAATGATATTGCATGGTAAATTTAAGCTTATTATAGTTTGATATGGTTTACACAACTCATCTCAACCAAATTATGGAATTAGACTGGGGGCGTTTTGTTGGAAGCGTTTTGAGTATAAGTGTAGGTGTTTTTAAGTTTTTGAATGTATTGAGGAATAAGAAACTCTCAAGTTAGTTCATTTTTACTTCTTTCTGAATTTGTTGGTTCGGGCTTATTCGGAATACATTTAGCAAGGAAGTGAGAAGGCCCCTTCATTTAGTTCTAATAGATTAATATTATTTTTTATACAATATGCCCAAGTCTTTTTAGGTCTACCTCTGCTTTTTAGGTCTACCTCTGTCTTTCCTAACATAAGTTGAATTTAAAACTTCTACTCTCCTAATCGAATCATCACATGGTCGATGTTTAGTATGACCAAACCATCTAAGATAGCTTTCTCTAACATTGTTTACCATTGGGGCTACACCAACTTTTCGCGGATAGATTTGTTCGGCATTTTATCTTTAAGTGTAAAACCATCTCAACAACTAGGGACATAAAATGAAGGATAAACAACTACAATTCGAGAGGTAAGCGGTTTCTCTCAATTTCTACAACTTGAGAGGTTGAAAATCTCTCCCAAACCCTAAACCAAAGACTTAAAACACAATCTTCTACATAACCATAACCCTAAATATATTAGTCATATTTATGCTAAATCATAATAAATGATAAAAGACTAAAATGACCGTAGGCTAATAAAAAAACAAATTTGTCTTTAATTGACGATCTAGCATTACTCCCCTCACATTAAGAAACTGTCATTATGGCAACAAAGATGAAACTGTTGTTGAAGCATGTGATTCTCACTTGGCTTCATCATCTAGCAATTCTTTACATGTAATCAGAAACTCACTTGGCTTCATCATCTAGCAATTCTTTACATGCAATCAGAAATTTGTAGCGACTCTCCTCGTCTCGAAATGTCATTTTATGCACATTATTCGACCACATCCGAAATGGATTATGTCTTAACTTCCAGCCAATTTTGGAGAATATTGCAGTCTCAAACAACTCATATAGTAGTGCATAGATCACCAAAATCTCTGTGAACTTTGTATCAAGTGTCTCTTCACTGGTATGCAACTTGATCAAGAATTGTAGCCCTGCATCCTAAATCGCCCTCATCATAGTCTTCAGCGTCACCGCCTTTTCTTTGTCTCGAATACTTTGCAGTGTCCAAATCAGTCCCCAATAAACTCCACTGCTCTTCTCCACATGTCTCGTTCCCAACAATACTTTTAAATCGCCTTCCATCTAAAGGCTGCTGCCACAAAAGGCTCTGGCGGTGTTGGATGGA